TACACGTTCATAATGCCAAGAATGTTTTAAAATAACGGTTATGCTATATCAACAAATTACCGATCTTTCCAAAGTGCTTAAAATAGAGCTGTTCCAAAAATTGTATTCAGTTCATTCACGGTGTTTAATCAAAAGCTCGTCGTCGATTTTTGAACTACTTATCGATAAGCTATTGAATTCAAATTTTGTAACACACACCGTTTACGGATGATAATAATTCGATTTAGAGTTTTTTTAATGTCGAAGAATTTTTTGCGCATATTTCCATTTAAGAATAACCTAAAATCAAAATTTTTAAGTTTGCATCCTTTTCAGAGCGTATCTTTTGAAATAAAATTGCATGAATTCGTAACCTAATTTCTGATTTTGGGCGAATTTTGTTTATTCTTTTCTTCGATTGATTTAGGTAAAAGGACTTGGAAGTAAAAGACTTAACCAATATCGTATAATGGTTAATAAATAATTTTATTGCTATAATGTAATAGGAGGATCATAGGTCCTTTCCTTACATCAAATAAATAATTTATAAATCGAAGTCGTCAATTTTTTATTTGACAATTTGGTAGATCGTGTATTGTAGATATATTAATCTCGTATTCCCATAAATTACACGATACATTATTTTTAAAACAATGTTAGACGAAGGTCTATTAACTTCCTTTTTTCATTTCCGAAAAACTATGTCAGTTCACTTTCAAACTGCTGCTACCACCAATCCAGCCCTGTATTTATTTAAGAAATTATAATGGTTTGGTTATTAGATTACGGCAAAGCACCGAGGCTATCGCCTTAAAATAAATAATGAATAATCTGCATAAATATATGTATGTTTCTCGCATTGTGATAAAACAACGGTACCTAGACCCATCCAATTTGAATAACGTACATTTCACCCGAATATGGGCATCTCGAAGCCGAGATTTGGAATTTGTTTTATTATGTTTATATTTCGAAAACTTCAATGATTTTTAATTAAGAAACTCAACGATTTTAGAGCGAGCAAAGGCAACACTGTATGAAATAAAAATATAAAAATTATCTTACGGGCGAGACTGTGTATCGGAAATTCTAAAGATGCCTTAAAATTTATTTTGCGGTATTGCTGTTTAACTGAAGTTTTATGGTTTAGTGCGAAGAACATGTATTTAAAAATAAAGGTAACCCACAAACCGTTAAAAAAACGCCTTTGTGCTTAATGTAAATCTGAAAGATTTGCATTTTCAGATTTTATGTTTGCATTTATACTTTTATTTTTCTCGTTTTAATTCATTAATCTTATAGGTAAACGTTCATTTTGAAAAAAATTCTATTTTTTATTCAATAACTGCTCTAAAACGGGAATTCTTAAATCCCTTTATATATGCATCCACTTTTGTAACTGGTAATAAATTTGTTTCTTTAGAGTCAGTGTAAGGCCTTTATCCAAAACATCAAGAAGATTCTCCCCACGCTAATGACAGCCATTACCCATTGTCGTCAGAATTGCATGGACCCTTGTCGCCTTAGGCATTGGGGGTTGGAAGGCATACAAAAATACGGGCTAGTCCTTTTTAGCGCGTTTTTTCGATAATACAAAAACACGGGACTGTCCGTTTTCGAGGGTACATTTAAACTAACAATAATCCGTAACGAACCGTTAAGAGACCTGCATAAAAGAACGAGAAAATCCGGGCCAAACCGTTAATGGGTTATATTAGTAAACAAATTCTTCTAAATAGTAAATGAATGAAAATACTTTTGAAAACTTTGCCCAAAGCTTCTGTACAATGCTTTAATGGATTCGTAGCTTCACAGGATACAGATCCATTGAATATGGGTCAACATTACCATATGTTAATCAGTAGGACAAAACCTGTATCAACATATGGTAGTGTCCTGGTGTCTCGTATGCTTGTTCCTGTCCTGTCCTGTCCTGCCATCGGACGGCAAAGCTTAAATAAGATAAGCATTTAGTGCAGTTTATGATGCATGTAGATTAATTTTATTTATTGATAATTCGACTTATTACTTTATATAAAAATTTGTTTCTGATGCATGTAAATTAATTTTACTTATTGATAATTCTAATTATTTTTTATAAAACTTGGCTCTTTATAATCAAAGGGATGTGTCAACCGCCATGTATTAGGCACACTGTTGCAGAATAATCATCTTTATGTCACGTTTTTATTTTTCCCCTCAAAGATTAGTTATTCATTACTTTTCAATAATCTTTATAAAGAATTAAGGCATTCTTCCTTTCTATAATGTCCTAATAGTTTCTACATATTCACTGCCTATCATGATGCATTTTTTAAATGACTGCTCATAATTCAAATAAAAAATTGTGTTACTATTTGTGTTTACAGTTGTAACTAGTGTGTGATTTTTTCCATATGTGAAGACTGAGATATAATTACATTATGGCATACGCGCGAAAGGTTTTGAAGGATGAACTATCTTTACTCTTGATTTTTTAATTTTGATTTTAAATTTACAGTTTTCCTTACAAAGTAAAGCGGCTCGTATACACGTTACACATGGAGAAAAAACACGAAAACGCTCATGTAAACGGGATTCGAACCTCGAACCTGATTATTCTGCAACAGTGTGCCTAATACATACAGCGTTTAGCTACTTTACCGCTCAGACGCTGGTGGGCCTGATTTTTAAATTAAGGTAATGAAATCAATCAGAATGAAAGATATTAAAACTAATAAATTGTGCGCAAAAAGGCATTATATTCGAAGAGGCGTTATGCATGTAATACAAATACAGTCCTCAAATGATATGTTGCTGCTTTACAAGAAACTGTTTACAGCAAAATTCTTATTGGGTGTAACTGAAGCTTGATCTATTTTAATGAAATTTTTAATTAATTAATTAAGTAATAAGAAAAATTTTACGTCACTTTATCAGTAAAACACGCATTTGTTTAAAATATTTTTGCCAAAGTTTCGAATATTATAACATATCAGCTTCAAAAAGCACAAAGTTTTTTTTTAACTAGAGTCGAATAGGTACTGACAAAATATTTCCTTTGAAATTATTACTCATTATAAACAACTATAAGATAAAACCAACTCCTACATTTTTGCATTCTCATCATCTTATTCAAAATATGAATACTATGAAATACTCTAGGAGAAAAAAGATATTATAGTTGTCTATATTCATTACGTAATTATGTTTGGGTAAATTATAAAATTATTAATTTCAAATAATGGATAAGCGCAGTCTTAATTAGTCTTTTATTTCTGTACTTTTAACTTTCAATTTAATATTATACATAGCACGTACTGAAATCTTCAGCAGGTTAATATCATTCGGATGAATTTACGAATCTTAATTCTTTGATAATTGTTTTAAAATTTTCAATTTGATAACTGAAACTTTCGCAGAGCCTAACTCTGCGCAGAATCATTTAAAGCATTAAAATCTCATTACTTTCCTCGGTTTTTATTAAGGTGTTTATCGCATTTTCAGCTTGTATGATGTTGGTGCTGATTTCCTGCCCTTTTACTTATTCTCATGCCGTTAAGAGAGTCATCATCTTTATCATTTCGTCACGTTTGCGTCATTATCAACCCAATTTATAATATGACGGTAGAATACACTCATCGCAGAATTTCGAATTTGGATGGAAATCCAAAAGTACTAGGCATTTTAAATCTTTACAATCGTTATTTCGTATTCTTTATAACTGAGATTGAGCATACGGGAGTTATGATCACGGTTAATGATCACGATTAATGTTATCATTTGGATATTTATTATGATCATGGTTAATGTTATCATTTGGATATTGTTATTGAATTACCAAATTTCCGCCAGATTATATACGAAAGTGTGGAAAATATATCGCTTATTGTGATCATCATCTTAATTAATATTACCAAAATATTATGGAATGAGTTTTATAAGCTGAAATTAATTAGTCAAATTATATCAGATTAAATTTAGAAAATTACTGAGAAATGTCGCCAAGTAAGGCATTAAGTCACCAAATTACTTGATTGTAGTTTTAGTCAACCATTTAAAATTAGGCAAAAATGCAAACTTTGGTTTAGTTTGGCGAAAATTTTGAGTACCTCTCTCAATTACAGGGTTATCGGAAACAGGAAATCATCTTCTTTAGGAGCAAAAGAATTTCTGAAGATTTTCTTTTCTGAAAAAATCTACGCCAAACTAAGGTTGCTTTCTTTGCCTAATTTTAAACTTTATATTGGCCAATGAATATGGGTATATCTATAATGGGTAAAAGATAACAGGATGATTAAAATTAATATGAGTTATAAAATATGCATAAGATATTGAGAATAAATAATATTAAATGAATATGAGAACAATTTAAAAATTCAAATACATGGTAATTTTTTAAATGAATGTAGGTTAAGGAAATAATAAAATAGGAATTTGATTATTAAATATAAAATAAATGTGGGATTAATGTAAAAATACAATCAGTATAGTCATATTGGTCTTAAAAACAACGCTTTTTATGATAAAAAAAATAAATTGTTAACTAGAGTTGACTAATTATTTTTCTTTAAAAAAAAACATACGAAAACTTGCCAAACTCGATACTGAAAAGAGAAACGTCCTACTTTTAATCAGTATGTGCTTTGAGAAAATAAATACCGTTCTTACCTTTTGATTATTATGCTTGTATGCATATAAGATAAACTCTTGATATATTGAGAGCCAGTCATTTATGTACTTTCGAGCGTTTTCTGTCAAATAACTGAAATAGGAGTAAACAAGAGTGCTCCTCTTTCCGTGAGATTGGCTGTCAAAGTAAATTCTCACCGGCCTGGGGAAATTCAATTTCGTAATGAAGATACGTATTCTTTTTTTTTTCTTCCAGACACTTTCGTAAATATCTGCTTTTATTGAACAGCGAAAGTTTTGGACAAGTTCTTGGTATCCAGATTTGCTCAATTAGTTCGTCTATTCAGAAACAATGCTTGTCTGTTTTTATTTATAAGAGCTGACTTCTTAACAGAGCATTTCTTTTCCAGATTAAAACAATGCAAACTCCTCAACCCTTCAGCAACTGTTGTTAGAACATAGGTGGCAACAGTACAGCAGAAGTCGTGGCACTGATGCCAGTACAGCCCGGTGTCTCGAGCCCGAATTCTCCTCAGATCTCCTCCGCTATGAGCAAGCTGCCTGCCCTCTTTTACACGGTTGAGGTTGGAGACACCAAGTTCACCATCCTCAAGAGATACCAAAATCTCAAGCCCATTGGTTCCGGGGCGCAAGGTATCGTGTGGTAAGTAATGCTGCATGTTTTATTGTTGTTTACGTTCGTGAAGTTAATGTTTACTTCAAACGTTATGTCCAAGTATCTTGGTCGCTTTCTCATGTCCAGAACCTCAAATTTAGAACAGAAAAACACAGCACTATTAATGTTTGATTCTGTAACTTTCAGAAGAAACTTAACTTGTAAGGGACTACATTCGGTTAATTTAGGAATGATCTTAACATTATAAGCGATTACCAACGATTTTAACCATTTAACTTCTAACTTCTAAACTGTGCATTTTTGAGGGGAAAATTCTGACATATTATTTTTTCATGTATATACAGGTTGGCCATAAAATAACTTTGCCGATATATGAACCCCGTGGAGCCTATCTGTTGAGCCATCCGTAATGAAATTTCAGAAATTGTTTTCTGAAGGTATGCGTTCGATATTGTAATGCTTAAAACAATAGAGCTCTCACGGTTACGGTTACAGTGAAATACTTTCAAAAATTTCGAATCGCAACGCCGACATTTTTTGCTTCGCAAATTGATCAGCGCATTGAAAAACCATAAACAGCATTAGAATGATACACGCATGACGAAAATTGCCAACGTAAAACATTTGCAAAGAAGAGCATTATGAAGGACTACACAATTACAACACAAAAGAGGGCAGGAGAAAAACCTTTTATTGGAATTACGAGTTTTAAATATGCCCACCCTCGCAGACGATAACGCATTGCATGTGGGAGATTGTTGACAATAATAACAAACGTAACTTCGCAGAAGGAAGCTGTGTAACTTCACGCTAACATATCTCGTGGATTTGAAGTGTAAACCTTAGATTTCAGATCATTCTAGAACCCAAAACCCATCGGAGTGAGGCCAGGGGAAAGCGATGGCCACGAAACTGCAAAGTTAGCGGAGAAGACTGTATCTCCAAAGTGCTGTTGTAGCACTTGCCGAACACAGGTGAACGCATGTAAATGTTATTTGGCAGAAACTTTGCTCGAACCTGAGTGATCCAATTGCTATACGCAATTCATCATCGTCAGTGACTTCGTTGGTCTGAAACTATATCCGTCTTTTTCATTCTTTTCATTAAATACCGTAATTGATATTACAGACTGTTGATATTAGGTTTTTTTCTTATCATGACTTAAAATAAAATTCAATGTGGCTACATTTCTGTTGGTAAGATTGAAGTGACTGCTGTGTTTAAAGTTTCGGAAAGCCTCAAAATATCATGGTAATCAGAAAATGTATAGTATAGATTTGCCAGAAAGGATGCACACTCGTGTAATGTTTTTATAGTGCATCTTCCTCCACCATCAGTGTCCATAAATGGCTGTTAGAACAACACGAATAACGAAGTCTGCCTATTGCTGAAAGCGTTTCATTACAAGTGGAGGCTGCTGTAGGGAATTTGTAAAATTAAACATGAACATATAATCTCGCTGTATGTAGACAAACATTAAAACACAAACAATCGGAAACATCAGCTTTCTTTGCTTAGTTTCTTTTTATACTATTACGCAAGTAAGGTAGGTTTATATCACTGGAATATTTAAACATGTGGAGTAAATACACACAATAAATTCATTATAATAGGGTGATAAGAACGATTTGTTTTTAACATATTTTAAATATATTTTAAATATATTACATTAATTAATTCAATATTTAACATAACTGTAAGTTTCTTTTACTGATGATACAGTTATTGTCCTAAAGAAAATGTTAGCATACGATTAAAAATTCCATTATCTAATATTTTCATGTGGATATAAAAAATTATTATTAAAGTGAATAATCTTTAATGCGCCTCTAAAATTTAATTTATAGAGAATGTTTTTAAAACGACAAATAAGTTTGATGGAAAACAGAAGAGCAAATTAAATGCAGTTTTCAAAACCGCATTTAAAAAATCTTCAGAATGCACTGGAGAAATTTCTCATTTTAGATATAATTCCTCATCGAAACAAAATTAAATCTACAAGAAGTAGTTGTGTATGTGCAGAGAGAAATAGACAATAAAACAAAATATAAATATACAAAAAGCGGCAAAATACTTAACATGTAAAAAGCATTAATCAAACAAACTGAAGCATAAACATGGAAATCAGTACTGAATTGAAAATGAATTAACACAAAATCAAAACAATTGTTGTTCCTTGTTCAAGGAAAAGCGAACAGAATTACAAACAGTCATTTTTTTTAATTATGTATAAATGAATGGCAAAAAAAGGAAGAGTAAACAATAAATTAAACTGAAAATTGATTTTTTTAAAATTAAAAATTAAAATAAATATTTTAAAAGTCTTCATTAAGATATAAACTGCCCCATGCAACTTTAAAGAAAATATGTGTTTTACATTCCATGTATTTATTCATCTTACGTGTGTATTTATAAACTGTAATTAAATGAAAAATTTAAAGTATTTACAGCCGCTTCAAAGCAGGTTACATCTTAATGAATGCTTTTATAAAACTTCTTGTTAGTTGTAAATATTTAGTTTTCAATTTATTTGCTTGTATATTTTTTTCATTTTAGATTTGTTCAAGATAGAAATAAGAAACGCGGCTCTTTTGATAATTCTCGTCGCGGCTGCTCGTTAAAGACAAAAGTTTTAGTTATTAGAACTTTAGTTACTTAATTTACTTTTGTTTTAAGGTCGATTTATAAGTTAATGTGTCGTTTTGTGTGATTTGTGCTTTCTTCATATAGCACGATAACTTGCTCCTTTTTGCAGATTAATATCTTATTTTATTCGATTCTATTTTATTCACAACAATTTATTTTCGCAACAATTTGCATTACGTTAATTTCTCTTAATTAAACATTTTTCAATTCTTTATAGCTCTTTTCTTGTATGTATAATAATATTAATAAGTATATCTATATAATAGTATATAGGTATAATTTTAATAATATATAGTATATAGGTATAATTTTAATAAGTATATCTATATATAAAGTATATACTTATTATACATATATATTATATATATTATATTATATATATATATACAGGGTGGTTCAAAACTATATGTCAAAAATATAAAGGATAGGTAGAGAAGACCTGAATAAGCAGATTTTGTATAGGAATGTGTGTGCGGTAATGCCTCATTAAAGCGCTAGCACGTAAAGCAATGTGAATCATAGGAAACTGAAAACACAAGTAAAGACCAAAGAAAAAAAACTAACAGTTTACAATAGGTGCCCAAAAGAGCGGCCACCAACAGCGATACGAGATTCACAGCGGCAGCGCATGGATCGGCTTACATCAGAAAAGATACTAATTCAGAAGTCAAACAACAAAAATCAGCGTTATATTTACAAAATTTTCACAGGACTAGTTTCGATGGTTTTACCGAACCACCATCTTCAGCTGCAAAACCGCAAATGAACCAGATAGGAAATAACGATTAGATAAGAAAAGAAAGCCTGGACAAGAATAAGCAAGTGGCGCCATCTGTTGGTGAAACCAGAACTAAAACATAATTTCTCTAAAAGCCGAAGGCAAATTTGGATTGGAATTAGGATCGTTAACTAGAACAGAAAGATTTTTATGAATGTGAAATGCCTCTAGAAAATCCAGTTCTCCAATGGAAGATGTTTTTTGAATAATTTTGGCAGCAGAAAAATTGAAAGTGTGATTTTCGGACCAACAATGTTGAGCAACAGAAGACTTCTGTGTTTCCTTTTTTCTAACATATGCCTCATGTTCTTTGACGCGAAATTTTAAGGCTCTCTTAGTTTGGCCAATGTAAATTAAACCACACTGGCAAGGAATCCTATAAATACCCCAGGAATTCATATCCGGAATGGGGTCCTTGAGTATAGAAGTTGGAATTTTATTGATGGGAGAATAAACGACCCGAAAGTTAAATTTCTGCAAAATATGTGCAACTTTATAGCTAATTGATGGAAAGAAGGGAATGACAACAGAATTTTTATAATCTCCTAAAATAAGAGTGTGGCTTTTAGTGTGTTGAGATGAAAATTTTTTAACTGCTTGATTAATAATGTTGGGTGAAAAGCCCCTGTCAATAGCTATTGCTTTTAAATAATTTAGTTCTTCATCAAGGGCTAGTTTGGAGGAGCAAACTTGAAGAGCACGGAAAACATAGGAATAAAATGAAGCTAACTTTTGTTTAATCAAATGACATGATTTAAAGTTTGGTGGAAGGCAAACCGATGAAGGTTTAAGGTAAACTGTAGTACTGAAGTTGGATGTGTTACGTGTGACCAGAATGTCGAGAAACGGAAGAGAATTGCAAGTCTCAAGTTCAAAAGTGAACTGAATAGTAGGATCAATAGAATTCATTATTGAAAGAACTTTATTTAAATCATCTTTATTACTTTCAAACAGGGTAAAAAGTATCGTCTACGTAGCGGAACCATGCCGGGAAGTTTAAAGTTTCAAAACAATTTTGATTCATAATAATGCATGTAGATATCAGCCAGGATGGGACTGAGGGGGCTTCCCATGGCTAATCCCTCAGTTTGCTTGTAATATTATTTTGGAAAACAAAATGTGTTTGTTTCAAACAGAGTGAGTGAGTGAGTGAGAGAAATTAGCTCATCAATTTCGATGCAAGAGAAATGAAATTCGCGAAGTCTGGTTTCTAGACATCTTAATGCACCCTCCACTGGGACATTGATCAATAATGATTTTACATCAAAAGAAACCATGAGTAAATTACTAGGAGAAATGTTTTTAAACCTTTTTTACAAAACCTATTGAATTTTTTTATGGTTGTAAATGTTATTGTCTAATAGAGTGGAAAATCTAGAAACTAAATATTTAGCTAATGGATACGAGGCAGTACCTAAATTTGATACAATAGGGCGGAAAGGAATACCACTTTTATGAATTTTGGGAAGAGCATATAATCTGGCACAATTCGCAACAGATGGGATAAGCGAAGCGAATGTTTAAGTTGCTTGAAATGAAATGATTTGCGAAGATTTGATCGCAGTTTTTATTTTGGATAAGTCCGAAGGTGAAGGATCTTTAG